ATTTTTAAATATTTATTTCTTATTTTTAGTTATTTTTATTTATTTTATTTTTCTTTAAATAAAAGATCTTCTACTTGACCCTTATCACTTTAAAATTTGCTACAGCTTGATAATTTTTAGTAAATTTTATTACAGTAATGAGTTCATTGCAAGAATAATTAAAGAAACATTAAATTTTTGATCTACTATCAAATTTGTTTATAATAGACCAAGAAATCTGCATTGTCAAGAAATGGTAGAAAAAGAATATGGAATTCTTCAATTCAAATTAGGAGTCCAGATAGAAGAAACAAATTAAATTAATTGGAGTATTGGATTAAAGTTCATTCTTTGTATATATTTTTTTTAATTTTTTTAATTTTATTTTATTTATTTAAATTTTTTTTTAATATTTTTTTTGTTTACAATTCTTATTAAAGTAATTTTGATTTGTTTGTTTAAATATAAAGCATCATATCATAACTTTATTTTATATACAATATTTATACTAATCATGTTATAGCAAATTATTTATTTATTTTTAAGTTTTTTTTTATTTAATTTTTATTTATTTTTATTTAATTTTATTTAATTAGTAATATCGTTTTAATATAATAATTTTTTAGGAGCTATAAACAGTCAGTATTGTATAGTATATAAATTAATTCTTTATAAATTAGTATTCAGACAGCTTCTACATTGTAATATAAATTTAATTAATATATTAGAAGATAAAGAGTCATCAGATAATTATATCATAATATTAGAAAATTCTTAATCAACTATTAGTTCTGAAATTAGTAATGAAATGATTATATTAGAACTTGATAAAAAATATTTTAAGAAGTTTCAAGAGTTTAATGATGATATAAAGCAAGTTGAGGATAATTATAATGATATTGATGAATATGAAATACAAGAAATTAATAATGCAAATAAAATACAAAAAGTTAATAGTTATTTTAAAGAAGTATAAGATCATAATTATGATATTTTACAAGAGTTTTATAATGATTTTATACTATCATTATATAACTCTAAAATTAGAGAATGTTCTAAAAACACATTAGTTTTTAAAAATTATTAAAATTATAGACTTAGATGATAATACAAGTAAAGACCAATATTATACATTATTAGAAAAAGAAAAATGGACATCTCAAAGTAAAGATATTAAGATTAATTATATTAAGAGATTGGGCCCTATAGCTTAATAGTAAAGCTGCTAATCTCTTACAGACAAGATCAATGATTCAAGTTAGGCTGAAGGCAAAAATCTTAGGATTTTAACTCTGTAACTTATAAGGAGCCAAAATTGAATATGGAGCCCTATGGAAAGTCCCAAGATAAAGTATAAGAATGGATTAGAAATTCTCAGAATAAAACTAACTCTGCAGAGTGAAAACACTATGTGTGACAGTAGTATTACAGAAAGTTTGGCTACAATAAAATTGTGCATATAAGTTCCCAGAAGATAGAGCAACATCAATATCTCTGTATCCAACTTACAGAGTACTTAATTAGAAAGGTAATACCATGTAACTAAAACTAAAGTAGTGAATGATGCAGTACATGCAAAGAAGATCTGTAGCAAAAGATTAGTCAAACCAAAATAGGAACATCTTAGACAGATACTTCTAAAAGTAACTTGAAGAATATTCTCTAAGCAGTTGTACATCACAACTTAGATGATGAGCATTATACTTATATGTAATAAGTCAAGGTTCCAGGCCTTCTTGCAACACCAAGCTGATAGTACATTGATATATAGTCAGCAGTACACCTATAAAAAAGCTTGCAAAAAACATATGTGATTAAGCAGCAGACTAAACCAACTATAGAAATATATTTGAAAAGGGTACATAGTAAACTGCAGATTGATAATCTAGATCTCAATAAATCCAGCTATGCTACCAGAATACTAAGAAGTAAATTAGGTTGTGTAAACCAAACTAATAGCAAGAAGAGCAAGAAATCACTGAAGTCAACCAATTTGGGAGAAAGATGAGTTATTGCAGATAGTAGACAAGAGGGCTGTTGAATAAGAAAAGTAGAAGAAATTAGAGATATAACAAGATGATCTACAACCTTTCTGGTAATTTAGTAACAATAATTAAAATACATAGTAAAGGCTACAAAATTAGGGCATATAAGAAATTATAGGTATAATGTCATATTGAATATTTAGAAGCAAAATAGATTCTAGTAGTCCAATGTAATGTAACTATATATAATAGTAATGCAAAAAACTAAATAAAGTATAAGTTACGATTTGGTATTATAAAAAAAAAAAGATTAATTATATTAATTATTTATTTTAAAATAAATAAATAAATTAAATAAAAATAAATTAAAAAAAAATAAAATAATACAAAAAAAAAATTAAAAAAAATAATAAAAATGTATATTTGTATACTAATAATCAAAAAAAAATTTTATAACTATCAACCAGTACAAATTTGACCTATTCATTATTTGAACAATATGAATTAGTTCAACAATTAGCAATTTTAAATATAAAAAGTAATTAGAAGGTTATATAAAGTAGAATGGAAGAAAAATGCAAAGTTAAATATAAATAAAAATTTGAACTTGGTGAATTTGTTAAAATTTGCATACCTGATTTTGACAAAAATAAAATAGATCAAAAATCCTTATCATGTAAAGTGCTTTATAAAAAGCTTAATGTCAATTTATATTAAGTTGCTTGTCAGTATGAAATACTTAAAATTAGTATCTAGCAAGTAAAATTAAACCACTTGAAACTCTTAAATATCCTTCTCATAATGTTGTTTCATTAAACAAAACTATTTTATTAAGGCAAGCAAGTTTCAAACAAAATAATGAACAATTAAATCAATTTTCAAATTAAAATAATAATGCTGATATTTTGGTTAAGTAAGTAAATAATTTATTATATAATTATAAATTATATAATAATAAGCTAATAAATAATAATTATTTAGTAATAATTAATTAAAGAAAGCATTTCAAAGCCATCACTCAAATTGTTGCCATTGCCAAAAAACAAACTGTTCTTCTAATGTTTGTTTCTGTTGAATAAATAACTTATTATATACACAATAATGTGAATGTGTTCTATATAATAAATATAAAAATTGATAAAAATTTTCTTAAACTTAAATTATATGAAAGTTTTATTGTGCATTTTTATTAATTATACAAATTCATTTGTATTGCAAATTTTTTATTAATTATATGAATTTCTTACTATTTATTTGTAACTTTTTATTAATTATGCAATTTATTATTTAAAGTGAGTTTTTCCTAATATAGTTAAAGTTAATTATATAATGATTTTATTTTTTATATTTCTATATATAAATTTTCATTTTTTTTTATGCAAAAGAGCTTTAATAATATAAATAATATCATTGCTCAGGTTATATTATTTATTGTTATAGTAAATAATTTTTAGTTTCTTAAAATTTTTACTGATTGTAAAATAACCTAAATTATTTCTAAATTCAAAAATGACCTAAATCAATTTAATATTGATCTAAATTATAAAATGACTTAGAACAAATGTATTTACTGAGCAAATAAACATTTACAAATAAATTTCATGCTTAGAAATATGTTTACTTTTTATTTAAGTATAGACTTTGACAATTAATTGAAATTGTGATTATTCTGAATTTTTAAAATTAACAGAATTTTTAGTAATGATATTTTAATGATTTAATATCTGATTTTAGATAAAATAAGTGATGTATTTGCATTGAAATATATAATAAATAAATCACATTTTTTTACATAAGAAAATTTATTATAATGCTTTGCAATAAAGTGTAATACTATGATTTTTGTGATGATGGTAGTTGGAAATTTTGGAGATTTAGATTTTATATTAATTATATATTTCAATAAACAATTGTATATATTGTTTAAAATCTTTAAAATTGTTGAAGAATCAAAAAAACTACTAAAATTGCAATTTTGCATGACATTATAATCTGCAAATATTACACTTTATTGCAAAGTATTATAACATATGCATCTATTTTAGTTCACTAAATTGAAATTTTAAACTCCTACTTATTTTCAAATTATAATACCCTTTATCAATATATAATAAAAATAAAATAATTCATAATGCAATGCATTGCAAATTATTGCAAATTATTGTGGTTTGCAAAATTATATGAAATTTGCTAATCAAAAAAAAAAGAATTAGTAATTTCTGATTTTTAATTTTTAATTTCTTTAATATTATAAAATTATATGTAATTATACTTTTGATATTATAAAATTATACTTAATAGTTAATTATACTTCTAATGATAAATGTAAGTATATTAACTAAAACTATTTTTTAAACTATAATTTTTTTTTTACTTTGACAGTCTTGCTGATACTCTTTATTAAGATTTATGTTTATATACTAACAAACATTTTTAGACTTAATATGCTAAGTCAACATCCTGCAGTTACTTCTATGAGCACTTATAAGCAATCTGTCACATCAGTTGCTTAATTTTCTAAAGAAAAAAGAGAATCTGAGAGGCTTATCCAACCACTGTCTTACAATAGAGTATTACCAATCTGATAATACTTTCTCATAGAGAAGTAAAAAAAGAAAAAAAACACTAAACTAAACTAAACTAAAAAGAAATACAAAAAGAAAAAAAAAAAAAGTGTCAAAGAGCATACCTTATTTGTAACCATTTAGGACACTAGCACTTTAAACCTGTATTAAAGGTTTAACTATACTTTAACTTGTGCTAAAGGAATAAAAATTATATATATATGATTTTAGGAATTACTATATATCTCTAATTTACTATAATTCTTCAACTTAAATCCTTCTTCATTACACTATATATTAGGTCATACATGTGATTGTTGTGTTTCTATTATATCATATTACAACATATAACTGTCTGAAAAAAGAAGTGGTAAACAATACTAATCTTTTATAGAAGCAAAGCCAATTTCCTCACTTTTGAGTAAGAAAAACAAAATAAATAGAGAAGTTAACAAATGTAATATGCTATCGTATTATAAAAAATATCAACTCTAAAATTTCTTATTCATAAAGTCAATGAAAGTTTCTTGTATAATGTTGGATGAATTAGTATTCAAAAGAGGCATTGGATTTGGGTGAGTACTAAGGATAAGTATTTCTTTATTAGATATACTGCGAGACTTGTTTTTCTTATATTACAAACATATTACTTATATACTTTTCTCTATATGCTAATTATACTAATTAAACTATATATGCTAATTACACTGATTACACTAAATATACTATATTCACTATATCTATTAATTCACTAATTGCACTACATCTACTAATTATGCTAATTATGCTAATTATGCTAATTACTAATTACATTAATTATGCTAATTACACTAATTATGCTAATTATGCTAATTATGCTAATTATGCTAATTATGCTAATTACACTAATTATGCTAATTACGCTAATTCACTAATTATGCTAATTGCACTAATTATGCTAATTAACTAATTATGCTAATTGTGCTAATTATGCTAATTATGCTAATTATACTAATTATACTATATTTACTAATTATGCTCTATATATATGCTTTATTTAATAATTACTATATATTGTTATTTTATTATGTAATCTAATTTAAATGAAATATTGACAATTCTTTTTTAGATCATGACAATATAAAAAGCCAAACCAAAGAGAGTGTTTTCAGTTTTTATTTGTTTTTAAGCTTTTGATAACCTTTAACCAAAGTTTTTCTTTATTGTTTCCAGAATGTTCTTCTGGTTTGAATACTAAACATGTTGGGGAGTTCATCAACAAACAAGGCTTAACTTCAACACAAACCATCAGAAGAGTCACTCACATCTTGGTTTTTTTATATACTTCTAGTTCATTAGCAACAATCTGCTTTATATATCTAAACAGAATCAAAAATATCATTATTTTAAAAGCATAACTCTTCAAACTGTTTTGGTGCTAGTTTGGT